CCTGAACCACCTCAACTGGCTCCTCTTGAAGTGCAGGAGTAGTGGCTCTACTCTGACCCTCTCCCGGATGGCTGAACTTCTCAGCCTATCTCCAAGGGAAAGGACAGCTACTCTTCAGAAAAAGCTCATTTCCACTGCTTGTATCCACATTTTTATTTTGGGTCAATATCAAAAGATTGTGATCATAAGGTAAGGTGATACAGATCAACCTGTAAATTAAGCGCTTGACTTCTACGCTGGGCTTTCTCTTCACCACGACAGACTGGTACAGCATCCATATCACTACAGTCGCTGCACAATTCCGTCTGTCAGTCTCCCATTCTCTTGTGAACAAGACCCCGAGGTACTTAAAATCCTCCACTTGGGGCAGTAACTGGTCCCTGACCCAGAGTGGGCACACCACCCTTTTCTGGCTGAGTTCCATGGACTCAGACTTGGAGGTGCTGATTCTCATTCACTCTGCTTCACGCTCTGCTGTGAACCACTCTGGTGCGAGCTGGAGGCCACCACCTGATGAAGCCAACAGAATCACATAATCTCCAAAAAGCAGAGACAAGATTCTGAGACCCCCCAAGTGGAAGGCTTCCACCACCTGGCTACACCTAGAAATTCTGTCCATAAAAAAAATTATGAATAGAATAGTTGAGAATAGGGCAGACGTAGATGAGTTCAATAACCACACGTCTGACTTATTGCAGGCTATACAGACAACACCCCTGCAATGGTTGTATAAGGATCGAATTGCTTATAGCAACGGGCCAGACACCCCCTACTCCCGAAGCACCTCCCTTCGGAACACTTCGAGGGACACGGTCGAATTCCAAATCCACAAAACACATGTAGACTGATTGGGCAAACTCCCATAAAGGGGGTAAAGAGCTGGTCTAGTGTTCCGCAACGAGGCAGAAAACCGCATTGTTCCACCTGCATCCAAGGTTCAACTAATGGACAAGACTCTCCTTTCCAACATCCTGGCATAGACTTTCCTGGGAAGGCTGAGGAGTGTGATCCACCTTTAGCTGGAGCACACACTTTGGTCCCCCTTGTCAAAGATGGGAATCTCACCCCATTCCTACCATCATCTGCTGTTCTCTAGAATAGAAGTTTGCAATCTCCTTATTAACAACACTGATTTCTTATGCCACCCAAAATCATTTTAACTGCAGTAAGCATTCCCTGGACCCTGGAAAAATCTCTTTTTTTGTAATTTTTGTCAATATATTTTTTTCAGGTAAAAGTGAAAGGACCACGTTACTGGGAACTGTCTGTAGACCTCAGCAAAGAAACACAGCATCTAAAGCAAGTATAGAGAGAACATGTATAACTTTGGTAGAGGTTTACAGTAATGATTTTGCTAAATGATAAGGACCATAATTCCTTCTTTTTATTGTAAATGTATAAGTGGAATTTAGACGGAAATGCGAATCTTACTTTTGTTATCTCTCTAAGGTCCATCTTGTCGAGAGATGGGGTGTTGTATGTAAAACTACGGGCTGGCCAGCTGCCCTACAAGGATGACCCTCAAGGTTGGAAGAGCCTGGTAGCCACCACAGTCAACCACCGCAGCTCTGGAGTCAAAGCCTTCAAGGTAAAACTGTCACACCAACCTGAAAAGCATAACGACATTATAGGGGAAGCTCAACATGAGCAGGCTTTCATTGTGTTAGGTAATGTGGCTAAACCTAAAACCCCAGTCAGAGAGAAGTTGTATTTGCAGTTACCTCCGGCTACAGTAATTTCCACTGCTATAACTTTACATTTGGGCTTCATTCATGATATTAGCAACGTAAGCAACTTCCTATGTATTAATCATATTCTCCCAGTAGAGGATTACACTTAAAATATGCTGTAAATAAAACGAATTGGAGAAAAATAGCTGATATTAAACTGAAAGTCTGAACATAATCTGTTTTTATTCATGTTATGTGTTCAGCTTATGTTACCATGGTGATTTAGCTGGTGAAAAAGCGAGCCATATTTGTGACACAAAAAACCCTGACTTAAAGCTCAGCATAGATGCTAATCGAAGCAACTGTGCTAAATGCAATAAATATCCACCTTTTTAAAAAATTAGATTAAGTTTGCTACTATCAGCCAGAGCATCTGCATTGTATTCTCTTTCTGTAGTGTACTTGTTAGTGGTGAGAGTTCATTAACATGTTGCAGGTTAATGAAGGCTTTAGTACATTTTTATGTAGATTTACAGGTTTTGTAAGCATTATCAAGCTTTTTTGTTTACGCTTTTCTCCTAATACACATAGACAAAAATCTACAGGTGGTGGAAAATTTTAGATGCGTTGTAGTTGAAGTGAGACAATTTCATATTACAAATTTGAAAAAAAACAGCCATTTTATTCTTAGTTTTCTATAGGTTATCTTATTTTTTGTCTTGTGTCTCTCCCTCTTTAATAGACTTTTTTTTCCCACACAGTGCCAAATGCAAAGCTCACCTCAACTTGCACCGCACCCTTGTTAGTTTGAGTCAGTTTGCATCTTTCCAGCGAGTTCATCTGCAAACGAGCTCCTTCAACAATTTGCTTACTGTACTGCACACAGCTTTCAGAAGCCTATACCAATTTAAGTTTTCCATTGCATTTTGCTTCTTACAAACCCTTCTTTAAAATTTGATTTGAAAACAGACAAACACATTAATAGGAGTGACTGGAAATGAATTGAGCTCCTCCCCAGTGAATGCTTCTGTCCAGTCTTGGCAGGTTGTCACTAAATGTTCAGTAGGCAGCTGTGTGGTTGACAGACTATTTACTGGTTTCCTGATGGTCTCAGTGTATGCTGTCAATATACTTAGAAGTCCAGAGGGGGAAAAACAAACACTGTTTATTCCACTTGTCCACACTCTTCCCCCCCCACTCAATTTCTTCTTCTTCTTCTAGTTTCCTCTTTCTTTCTGATCTTCTATGTTGCAATTTTGACACAGTCTCCTCTTTTTCCTCTGTTTTGTCTCGTGTTTATGTAACACTTTAAGATGAATTTGATTTGTTTAAAAAGTGTTAACTGCATAAGATTTCATTTATTTCTTCAGATCACATCTCTTGTGCCCCTTCCTTATATTAAATGTCTTCTTCTTTCAAATGCTTCTTTATCTGTCTTTTGTATCCTTCCTTTTCTCTCTTTCTCCTCCATATGTTAATTTATAGCAATATTACAATTGTTTTATGTTTTTCTGCAGCCTGAAGCCATCTCTACGTTCACCTCTGAGCCAGCTCTTGTCTCCTTTGCCGAGCTCTTCTGTAAAACTTCTGAAGGAATGAAACATGTGAGTTTTACATCCAAAAATGGATACGGATACACTCTGAAGGCAGGTTTCCTCCATAATGGCTTATCCCTGCAGTCATGTTACTGTTGTGGGTGAGCAACAGAGAGCCTGTGGCTGGTTTGAACAAACACAAGGAGTATAATGGTATTGCAAAACACTCAGCCTTAAACAGATTTTTTTTCTTAAGAGATGCCAGCTCAGTGGTGAGTTATAGTTTACTGTAAGATTTCTAAAGCAAATGTGTTGAATATAAATGCAAACAAAAGGTAACAAAACGTGTTTTCATTTATCCAGATGCATCCAGCATTTTCCCTACTTTCTTTCTTTCTTTTTTTTTTCTTTCTTTTTTTTTTAAACAGAACCGACCGTTTTTACCCCTCAGTCGTTAAAGGCTGATGGGTTATTATCTTCACCCCACCAGGCAGGGGGCTGGCTCCTGGCACCGGATATTAGTGAATGCGATAACCTGAGATCAAGGCGATGCAAGAGCTTCAAACTCTTGAAGGAGTTTGATTCTCAGTGACCTTGACCTCAAGGTCAAAATAGGTTTTCTGAAAATCTTTTAAATGCAATAATTGAAGAAGGAAATTCCAAATTAATAACATAGGTGCATCTACTAAAAATCTTGGATGAATTTGATTCTCGGTCACCTTGATCTTAAGGTCAGAGTAAGTTTTCTGAAATGCAATAACTTGAGAAAAAATGCAAAAATGCACCATAGCTGTGCCTACTAGGAGGCTGAGGGGTAGTACTTCGTAGTTGCCAGTATTTTTAGAGAGTTATTCCAGACAAGAGTTTGTCAATTTTCCCAGGAAGCCTGACCTTTCAAATATCTCACAGCTTTGTTGTTAACATAGTTGGCAATGAAATATAGTTACATTGTAAACAAAACTATTCTTCCCTTTAGAGTAAACAAGGAGCCATGATTGTGGAGGAGCTCTGACATAAGCAATGGAAAAATACAAAAAGCTAATAAAATGTCTTCCCAGATTCATGTTAGACAAAACCCAAATAGGTCAGTTTTGTGTTAGATAAACAACAATTTTCATACACCATGTATTCCTGTATCCTGATTCAGGTCTTGTGCAGGACAACCCATCCATGAGCATGATTTTATAATGTTACAAATATATTAAAAGGAATTGTTCTCTATATAAAGAATAAAGAAAATTTCAGGAAACTGCTATAGCAAACGATAAACATAAAGATGAAAAATCAGGGAAAACTAACTACAAACAGCCATATCAGCCTTTAGAAGAGATTAGCTTAAATTAAAAGCATATAGGAAGCATTTACCAGACTCTGTATCAGTGTTTTATATGTTACAAACAAAACAAGTTTCAAGTTTCAAGTACAGCTACAGTAGATCTTGGTAGAAATGTGGGAAATATTCAAGACCTTGACTTTGACTCAACATGCCAACAGGAGTAACAGGCATTCAATGGCCCTCTGAGGCCAGTCTGCATAATGCACATATGCTGAAGTTTTCCAAGTAGCATTTTTCCTGTATTCATTACTTTTAAGTCGAGTATATTGGTAAATATTTGCTGCTAGTTTGCCTTTATGACCAAATATTTGCAAAGTATTGAATAAATTCAAAACTCACACAGGTTATTACCCCTTAACATTCCTGCACATTTTTAACATCTGTACTATATTTTACCTCAATTTTGACCTCAAAGTCACACATTCTGTGCCTTTAATGAGCTTAACATTGCTTTTAGCAATACATTTGGCAAAAGTGAAATCACAGAACTCACAAAAAAGATTGGCTTTAAAATAAGAATAGTTTTTAGGATATTTCAGTCAAAACAGGTTTGCATACAAGCTTAATGAAAAAAATAAACTGTAATGACGCCCAAAAAATGCTTACCTACAGCTTGATCTTATTAATCACTTGACTCTTATTTTGAGTAAAGTGGCTGCTTCGTCACATCTGGGTAATCGGTTAGATTGCACAGAGGTCATTGGTTTCAACTTGCATGGTGAAATGGCAGAAAATTAATCATGTTGAAGCATAGTGTTCTGTAATTAAATTTAAGAACAGGAGGACATCTCTTTGCTGTTCGTCTAGTTTTATCTGTTCAATCTCAGCATTTCTGCCTCTATATTTTCTACTTTTACTTGTTTACTAAATGTGAATATAGCCTGTAAATTCAGGAAATTGTTTTCTGGCGTGTAATTGCAAGATTCGTTGCTGTCTGGTATTAATGTGGGGTGAAATAGCTCCATGCCTAGATTTTAAATATCCAGATCCCAACAGGCTCCGTATTTCTCCTTGTCAGTAGAGTGTGCCTAACATGAACAGATGGCCTTAAAAGTAATGAATTTAGTTTTTAATCGGAGTTCAGCCTCTATATAAGGAATTGATTAAGATGTGTTCTGTACAAACTTCAGTTAAATTCATACGATTTTAGACAGCGACACAATTTTAATACACTAAACATGTGGCTGATTGCAGGCTTTCAGCTTGAATTCAAGGGTTTTAACAAAAGTGTTGCATTCATTGTTTAGGAGAGAGAGACATTTTTACCCCTCAGCTGTGAAAGGCTGATGGGCTGTTGTCATCACCCACTGGGCAAGCAGGCGGTATGGTCAACCAAGTTTGTAAATGTGATAACTTGACAACGAAGAGATGTACGATTTTGAAATTGATACCAGCGGGTGTATCTACTAAAAATCTTCGGATCTGGCGACCTCGAGATTGAGGTCAGAGGTCAAGTTTTCTGAAAGTCTTGTGAATACGAATGAAACTCGAGAACAAGGCGACGTAGGATCTTGAACATCCGTAGGTGTATTTACTAGGAGGCTGAGGCTGTGAAGGGATAGCCGTGATTCCAAATGCTGAACTTGCATTTGGTACCTTTGCCCTGGAAAGCCCAATGAGATGTTAATGCAAGTGAAAGAGGCCATTAGGATTAAAAGTTAAAGTAAACCAATTACCTTTAAAAGAAGGAATCCATTGGTGAGCCAGTTAAGGAAAAACCCTTCACTAAATCTATCGAGAAGACTCCTTCATTGATGTAAATGCAGGGGGTTTACAACAAGGTGCAAGCCAGAAAACACTCAAAAGAGCCTGCACATTTCTGAGAAAAACATCCTTTGGACAGAAGAAAGATTAGCTTCCCAGAATGATGGAAAAGAAAAGTTTGGAGAAGGAGCTTATGATCTGAAGCATACTAATTCATCTGTAAAACATAGTAGGGACAATGTTATATGGTCATATAGGCATGTATAGCTGTCAAAGGAACTTGGTTACTAGTGGTTATAGATTATGTGACTGAAGAAGTAGTTTTAAAGTGCACAGGGCTATATTCTCTGCTCAGATCCAACAAAGTGCTTCAGAGTGGAAATAATGTTTGTGGAAATTTGTTAATAAAGCCTGCAGACACAATGAGTTGTAACAGCACCTTTATTTCAACTATCTCATGCATAAGGAGGGACGTCAGTCAGGGGGGCACTGAGAGTCGTCTCAAAGTTGATGGTCTCGGTGCTGGCTAAAACACACAGCTCTGTGAATCCTCCATTTTCTCCGCTTCAACAGCTGGTAGGACAAAGGTACCTTTTCCCTCAGGGGTGATCAGCCCATCCATGGAACAGTTGTTCAGCGACCATGTTTTTATTAAAGGATGTTAGCTACCGCTCACCGCTTGTCTGCAGGCTTTAAATGGATAACTTCCACAACATGGATAATGACACAAAACATACTCCAAATACAATGCAAAGGTTTGTCAAACGGGAGAATATGGACATTTTTCAGTGGCCAACAGTATAAGCGGTTAATGCACATACAGGGAGTGCAGAATTATTAGGCAAGTTGTATTTTTGAGGAATAATCTTATTATTGAACAACAACCATGTTCTCAATGAACCCAAAAAACT